ATGGTAGGGGCGTAACATTTCCGTCACACGCTTGAGGTATTCGGCCAATCACAACGCACTGGATAGCTGGCCAAGCAGAGCACACCTAGCTTTTCAGACTGATGCGCTTTGTAAAAATCGACGCGATTCAGAAAGGCGGGGCATAGAGGAGAAACAATAATGTACAGTATGTGGAAAATAATGTGTTTTTTGAACCTTAAGCCGCATAAACATTTCATTACACCAAATACACAAAATAATGTTATTTTTAGCAGCATCATATGACCCCTTTAAACCACACAGCTTCTCTTCAGTGCCTATTGCACGCAGTACCATGAAGTCCTGCATGCTGGCATCTTTGCTCATGGGCGCTCCCCTGAACCGTAAATACCATGTTACTAATTACTGTAGAGCAGCAAGAAAATTACATCCTGACAGCGCTGACAGGGTGATGGCACACAGGAATGTCTACAGTCGAAAGGCCATTACTAGCAACACTTCTTTAGGCACATAAGATGTGAATTCAAATGCAGCAGACGGAAAAAATATAACTTTCAAGCAACATGAGGGTGAATGAGTGACAGAAATTTCATTTTTGAATTAATTATACTATCGTTAAAAACGGTTGTGCTGCTTAATATTTTTGTGGAACTGTGATGTATTTTTCTTCTGGATTTTTTAAGGCCTATGAAGTTAAATATAACTGTTTATATGAAATAGAAACCTTTTGTAACATTATAAATGGCTTTACTATTACTTTTAATCAATGCGTTCTTGCTGAATGAAAGTATTATATTGTTATATATTACATTATCAATATCAGTAGTGGCAAAAGTCAGTACTGAATAAAAGTATTCCTTTCTTTAAAAAAACTCACCACAAACTTTGGAATACTGCGGTACCCTTTAAAAAAAACTGGACATTTTGAATTTGGAAACTGAATTTTAAATTAGAAAAATAAATAACTTACTGACCCCAAACTTTTGAATTCTAGTGTACCTTTTTAATAAAAACTGGGAACATTTTCAATTTGGAAGCTTTGAATTTAAACGAGAGAAGAAAAAAAAAAAAAGGCAAAAATATTTGAAAATACAATTGACTGTTTAAAAAATTTAAATAAACTATCCATATTCATATTTGTATGGATTATTGTGGCATAAGCAAAGCAGAGATACATAAATGTATTTTTTTTTAGAATGAAAGAGATAGACATTGGTACAAATAGAAAGAAATAAAGAGAAAAGTTATGTCCCAGACTGGAGGGCTTTGCTCTATGAGTCAAGTGCAGAGAGCCTTATTGTTCATAGTGGTTGCTAACAGAGATCTCCTCGAATGTGGCCTCCATGACTACAACCTTACTAGAGAAGAATCTTATTATGTGTGTGTGTGGAGGCACTGAAGGAGGGTGTCACTGTTCTACTTTACTTTAACTGGGTCAGCTTGAATGTATCTCTGTCGTTTTTTTTCTCTCATTTATATTTTTCAGTCCAGCATCTCACAAGTGGCTCACCAAAATGTGTTTGTGCACTGAAGTTGCTGAATACAGAAAAATACATTTATTGCACTCTTACAAAGGCATACGGCTTGTTGCGCCAGAACGAAACATTTTCATGTCGACCATAATGTCATCTCAGGAAAGCCGAGAAAGAGAGTGACAGTGTGAGGAAGGGAATAATGAGTGACTGAGTGCTGGTAGAAAGTGAGTGAGAGAAAGAGGGGGTGAGAGCGCTACAGTGTCAGCATATGTTGATAATCTTGCAGAAAGCGAAGGATTGCCATGGTTACCGAATTAATACTAAAAGGAGGTGTAGCATAGAAGACAATCAAAAATACATACACACACACACACACTCATAGGCGAGGTGGAGGGGTGGACACACACAAGTGGGTCAGAATATGAGAGACTAACTATTGAGTATCCCAGAGAGAAGGATGGTTTAGAGATGTTGGAGTAATTAGGCAAAAGGAGGGGCACTAGAGATCAAATGATCTCAACCAGTGAGAATGCACAACGACGCACTCTTTATCACTTCTGCTTGCCTGCTGCTGCCTTCATCTCCCTGCTCGCATACTTCATATAGTCATCTCTCTGTCTAGAAATAATCTCAATTACAAGCAGACAGAAGGTCAGATAAAAATGAGCCTGAGTCTTCCTGGTATATGAACTTTGTCCTGCTTTATTCAACTGGTCACTGTGCGGAAACTAAAGCAAGTAGCATGGGTTATGTCATGTGACTAGTTGTTACTCTGTAGTTAGACTGATGAGAAATTCTTTCGGTGGAGTATTGCATGCTTTCTAATGCAAGTTGTTAGTAGCTACACTACATCTGATGCCAGTATTTCCTAGGTATTCATTAGTGCTGCTTGCAAAGCATTACTGGTGTTGTTAACACTATAATTAGGGTTAGGGATCTGAACTAACCATTAGACCTAAGAATAAACTCTTGCATGCATCTTATTTGTGCTATGGACATGATGATACTTCAGATTGTGTGGCTTAATAAGGCGAGGTGTGCTATTAATTTTATACATCATCAGAGTTATTATTTTTGCCTGGTGGATGATAAAAAAATGGTAACAAAACAACAACACTTAATAGTAAAACAGTTGTGAAATGTTGTGAAATATTACATTTTAAAATAACTGTTTTCTATTTATTAATATATTTATAAATGTAATTTGTTATATATTACATTATCAATATCAGTAGTGGCAAAAGGCAGTACTGAATAAAAGTATTCCTTTCTTTAAAAAAACTCACCACAAACTTTGGAATACTACGGTACCCTTTAAAAAAAACTGGACATTTTGAATTTGGAAACTGAATTTTAAATTAGAAAAATAAATAACTTACTGACCCCAAACTTTTGAATTCTAGTGTACCCTTTTAATAAAAACTGGGAACATTTTCAATTTGGAAGCTTTGAATTTAAACGAGAGAAGAAAAAAAAAACAGGCAAAAATATTTGAAAATACAATTGACTGTTTAAAAAATTTAAATAAACTATCCATATTCATATTTGTATGGATTATTGTGGCATAAGCAAAGCAGAGATACATAAATGTATTTTTTTTTAGAATGAAAGAGATAGACATTGGTACAAATAGAAAGAAATAAAGAGAAAAGTTATGTCCCAGACTGGAGGGCTTTGCTCTATGAGTCAAGTGCAGAGAGCCTTATTGTTCATAGTGGTTGCTAACAGAGATCTCCTCGAATGTGGCCTCCATGACTACAACCTTACTAGAGAAGAATCTTATTATGTGTGTGTGTGGAGGCACTGAAGGAGGGTGTCACTGTTCTACTTTACTTTAACTGGGTCAGCTTGAATGTATCTCTGTCGTTTTTTTTCTCTCATTTATATTTTTCAGTCCAGCATCTCACAAGTGGCTCACCAAAATGTGTTTGTGCACTGAAGTTGCTGAATACAGAAAAATACATTTATTGCACTCTTACAAAGGCATACGGCTTGTTGCGCCAGAACGAAACATTTTAATTTCGACCATAATGTCATCTCAGGAAAGCCGAGAAAGAGAGTGACAGTGTGAGGAAGGGAATAATGAGTGACTGAGTGCTGGTAGAAAGTGAGTGAGAGAAAGAGGGGGTGAGAGCGCTACAGTGTCAGCATATGTTGATAATCTTGCAGAAAGCGAAGGATTGCCATGGTTACCGAATTAATACTAAAAGGAGGTGTAGCATAGAAGACAATCAAAAATACATACACACACACACACACTCATAGGCGAGGTGGAGGGGTGGACACACACAAGTGGGTCAGAATATGAGAGACTAACTATTGAGTATCCCAGAGAGAAGGATGGTTTAGAGATGTTGGAGTAATTAGGCAAAAGGAGGGGCACTAGAGATCAAATGATCTCAACCAGTGAGAATGCACAACGACGCACTCTTTATCACTTCTGCTTGCCTGCTGCTGCCTTCATCTCCCTGCTCGCATACTTCATATAGTCATCTCTCTGTCTAGAAATAATCTCAATTACAAGCAGACAGAAGGTCAGATAAAAATGAGCCTGAGTCTTCCTGGTATATGAACTTTGTCCTGCTTTATTCAACTGGTCACTGTGCGGAAACTAAAGCAAGTAGCATGGGTTATGTCATGTGACTAGTTGTTACTCTGTAGTTAGACTGATGAGAAATTCTTTCGGTGGAGTATTGCATGCTTTCTAATGCAAGTTGTTAGTAGCTACACTACATCTGATGCCAGTATTTCCTAGGTATTCATTAGTGCTGCTTGCAAAGCATTACTGGTGTTGTTAACACTATAATTAGGGTTAGGGATCTGAACTAACCATTAGACCTAAGAATAAACTCTTGCATGCATCTTATTTGTGCTATGGACATGATGATACTTCAGAATGTGTGGCTTAATAAGGCGAGGTGTGCTATTAATTTTATACATCATCAGAGTTATTATTTTTGCCTGGTGGATGATAAAAAAATGGTAACAAAACAACAACACTTAATAGTAAAACAGTTGTGAAATGTTGTGAAATATTACATTTTAAAATAACTGTTTTCTATTTATTAATATATTTATAAATGTAATTTATTCCTGTGATGGCAAGGCAGAATTTTCAACAGCCATTACTTCAGTCTTCAGTGTCACGTGATCCTTCATTCAAAAATGTATTTAATAATTTACACAACCAATCATTTCATTTGTGTATGAATTTCATTCTTCTGTTGAACACAAAAGAAAATATTTGGAAGAATGTTGTTAACCAAACAGTTGACAATATTGTGTATGATATTTTACATTAGCAATATCAGTAGAGACAAAAAATAAGCGCTCCCATAATATCTTGTTTTTATTTCATCACATTTGTTGTCATGGTAGTTGTCGACTTGTCGTCATAACAACATTGGGAGAATGGGGTGGTCAGTTTAGCCTATTTCTCAAAATCATTGTGTGCCTCATCTCTCCTCATTTTGTCTTTTTTGTCTCACCTTGAACTGTTTTAAGCATGGAATATTTCTGTTCTCTGTTGCTGTTGTCCACTGACTTTCTCTCTCTCTCCTTCTTTCTCGACACCCTGACACACAGGAAGAGAGCGGTTGTCTTGTATTCTGGGTGTGAGTACAGAGGAGGCCAGTCGTTTTCAGGACACTTTCCTACAGACGTACAGAGAGGTGCCGGCCTTCATCCAGCACACCATCCAGAACTGCCACATACACGGTGTGTGTGAGATAAACACAGAGTAGAGTTGAAAAAACTAAGCAGACACTCTTTCACAAAACTCACTCACTTCACAGTTCAGTGTGTATATAGAGCTGCCGTTAGGCCACACTTTCACTGATATTACACACATCATGGTTTTTACACCATGGTGTGAACTTAAGTCACACAATACTCATTCTTTCACTTCTGCTGTGACTCAAATAGTTACATTTTCTGCTGCCATTATATTCTATCTAGTTTCATCTCAGTGTTACTTTAAAATATCAAATGCACAGTTTACTGGCCGTTTTACTATTATTATAAAGTATGAAGTATACATTTTGTTTGGTGTGCTGTATTGGCATGAGAAATATCAATACAATGTATGGCGAAACAAAATAAAGAACAATGCAAGGTAGCTAAATAAAAGGTGACATAAAATACTAAAGGGGTCATATGACGTTGCTAAAAAGAACATTATGTTGTGTATTTGGTGAAATGAAATACGTTTATGCGGTTTAAGGTTTAAAAAACATTATTTTCCACATAATGTACATTATTGTTGCTCCTCTATGCCCCGCCTTTCTGAAACGCGTCGATTTTTACAAAGCTCATCGTTCTGAAAAGCGAGGTGCACACTGATTGGCCAGCTATCCACTGCGTTGTAATTGGCTGAATACCTCAAGCGTGTGACGGAAATGACGCGAATATTGAGGAAACGATAGATGGTTTTCATGCTGAAGTAAAGTAAAAGACCGCTTCTTAAACCAAAGGTGAACATGTTGGTATTCTTGTGGGGGAAAAAAAACAAAAGTGAAATATGTATAGATGTATGTAAGCAAATCAGACAATTATCTTTTCTTGTAAAACGTGACACCAGGATCGCGAATTCGAAAGTGAAAGCATCCGAAGCCCGGCTTATAATAATGAGAAAGGAAAAATTGAAATTGCATCATATGACCCCTTTAAGTATTAATGATTAACAGCTAGAAATATAAAGGCCTGTCAGCGCCAATAGCCTCGTGGGCAGCACGTTGACATATAATATTGTTGCGCTTCAGGCGTCCCGAGTTCGAGTCCTGGCTTGCGGACCTTTTCCCGATCCTATACCCCCTCTCTCTCTCCCTCTTTGCTTCCTATTTAAAATACTGTCCTGTCCTAATTAAGGCAAAAAACGCCAAAAATAAATCTTAAAAAAAAAAGATGATCCAATAGTCATATCATTAAATACAATAGCATAGGTTCAGTAATAAAAGACAGTGTTAGATTTGTTGCTATATATATATATTTATTAGTGCTATACATGCATGTGTTTGTATTTATATATGCATAATAAATATACACAGTACACACTCATATATTAAGTAAAGAAAAACTTTTATTTTCACGATTAATCGTTTGACAGCACTAATATATATATGTATATATATTAGGGCTGGTAATTTAACGTGTTAATTAGATTAATTAATTACGGTGAAAAATAAAGCGTTAAAATTAACACATTTAACACACTTGCCCTGCCCCAGACCTACATGGGTCATCTTGACATTTCATACAGTTGATTGATGACAAATTTGAGGCAGGGCAACAACTCACTGCGTGATGGAGCCTAGAGAACGTAGTTAGAATTAGAGCCCTGTATTCCCGACAGGCCCTGACTTTTTTACGCCCCTCGAGCCGGGCTTCAGGCCAATTTTCACGTCATAGTTCAGACGTGGGCCGGGCCTCGGGCCTGTTTTAGGCTTCTCCTTATTTTTATATTTTAGACATCCATCAATTAGTGATGAAAAAAATTGCCTCGCTGGTGGAAACAACACGAGACCGTGCTACCGCGACTGTCAAGAGCGGCTCGATGGTGTTTAGTGTCCCGCAGCAGTATGTATGGTGCGTGCTGTCAGCTCAGCTGAACAGTTCTGCGTTCAAATGCAAGCAATAGGCTTAAGCTTGCCGCAAAGCACGGGCAAAAGTAATTACTATAAATGTGACAGGGGGAAATAGTAAGGAGATATTTGAGTTATTTACTAACAAACTAGTGCTTGTTAGTAATCTCCTCAGACGCGCCTTTAGAGAGAAGTGCATCTTTACGGATTATGATTATAATGAAAGAGTTTTTGTTTTTGATTTGTTTTATTTTGTTAAGTAGTAATTTAAAGCTTTCTATAGATATATTTATCGTGTCTGTGAGGCGAACTGTCCGTCTTGCCTGCGCTTATTTCACTCCTCCCCTCACTGCAGCCGCCTACTCTCACCTACATTTCAGGCAAGGCGAGGCGCATCTCAAACAAGCCCATTGTCTTCAAGACTACTAGAAGGCTACAGGCAGGTGAGTTTTATCAGGGTTGGATCAAATCTCTGCAGGAAAGTGGCCTGGAAGGGCGAAGTTTGCCCATCACTGGGCTAAATTGATCAAACATAGGCTCACTGTCTGCCGCTGGCCGTTACTTTAAAAAAACAAAAACTTATATTTAACGAACAAAAAATGCTCCAAACGTTTTTTTTAAATTAACTTCATTAAAAAAATGAAACGAAATAATCACTTTGCTATTACATACAAAACTTAACTATTTTAATAGCTGAAACAGTAGTATAAGCTGTTTTGGGAGAACGGGAAAAAAAGATGTGCTCTGGTCGGGCTCGGGCCGGTAATTCTGATAAGCTGTCGGACACGGGCCGGCCTAGGGCCTGAGTGTCTCGGGCCAGGACCGGGCTAGGGCCTAAATTTGAGGCCCGTGCGGGACTCTAGTTAGAATGTCCCTAAAATTCAAAGTATGGGGCAAAAAAGCTCAAAAATTTTTTTTGTCTCATATTTACATCATATAGTTAAACAATAACACACGAGCAATAGGCTAAGTGCAATATCACACGAGTGCAGATGTGATACTGATCTTATACAACGGTTCAGTAAGTAAGAAGTTAATATTGTGTTATTTTAGACACAATGTTGTCTGTTTTGCTTAATTTTGCCAACGAAAATATAAATACAAAGCAGAACTGTTTGTCTCCGTCTCTGAGCAACACACAACGGCATTTCATTTCTTAATGCACGTTTTGAAGAAATTGGGTGAACCATTTGGCGCGTTGAACCATAGGCCTTAGGTGAGTTGGATTTGATGCGGCGCTCCACAGAGCGATCGGTGTATGACATCATAGTACCGCGAGAGCGGCTGAAAAGCATAAGGAGCCGTCTGCTCTCTAATCGCTCTTGCGGTACTTTGATGTCCACACCGATCTGTCTGATGGTGATGATCCGCTTCAAGTCTAACAAGCCTAATGATTCAATGGACCATTCATAAAGAACCATTTACT